CGTAAAGATCGAAACGTCCCAAAAGGTTGTTGTCCTTAAAAATTGGGAATTTTTGTATTAAATAGATAAAAAAACTTTTTGGTTGACCTTACTCTAAAATATACCCTTGGAGCTGAAAAATAATGAGGTGTAGCTTACATTAAGGGTATTTTCGCTTAGCCAGCTCCCCCACCTAGTACCAGCTAAGTTTTAAAAACATATCTTAGAGGTTTATTTATTTTGTGGATATCCTTGGGGTTGAAATAGGGGGTGTATCTCAAACGGGAGAGGGGGGGGGGATGATGAGGCTATCAGTATATAAAACGGGAGGTGTATCAGAACGAGAGAGAGGGGCGCCCCCTGCCATTGCCAACATAATTTTAATACCATCTTAAAATTAGGTTTATCCATCTTTTGGAGGTATCCTACATAGTAAGATCCGACTATTAATCTCCAATTTATCCACCTTAGTCAAAGCTCTTTCTCCTTCATAAACTTGAATAGTAACAGCCGGCTGATTATCAGCATAAGTAGTAAATGTTTGTGAGGTTTTGTGAGGAATTGTAGCGTTGCGTTCAACAAGTTTGGTCATCACACCCCCAGCCGTTTCTATTCCCAAAGAAAGTGGAGTAACGTCAACGAGAAGAACATCCTTTGTTGTTTCATCCCGAACCCCAGACAAAATAGCCGCTTGTACCGCAGCCCCATAAGCAACTGCCTCATCAGGGTTAATAGAGAGATTCAACTCTCTATCGTGGAAGAATTCCCGCAACAATTTCTGAACTTTGGGAATACGTGTTGAACCCCCAACCATTACAATCTCGTCAATTTTGCTCTTGTCAAGGCGGGCATCTCTGAAATTTTTGAATTAGAGGCATTTTTAGGTACCCTTAATTACCTCAAAGCTTGTTCAACAGGCTCCAATGTCTTCTTAAACAACGGAGTGCAAAGCTCCTCAAAACGAGCTCGGCTAATTTTAGTGTGGAAATCAATTCCTTCAAAAAGAGAGTCGACTTCCAACTGAAAGAAAAATTTTTTCAGAAATTTTTAAAAATTTTTGAATATACAGTAGCCTCAGTTGAACTACTCAAAGTGCGCTTAGCACGTTCCGCTGCCGTTCTCAAACGGCGAAGAGCACGGGGGTTGTTACTAATGTCACGACCTTGTTTACGCTTGAATTCCTGAAAGGGAAAAAGTTTTTTCAAGTTAAGGAAAATTTTTAAGTACTTGTTTAAAGTGCTCAACAAGCAAATTATCAAAATCCTCCCCTCCCAAGTGTGTATCGCCAGCGGTTGATTTAACTTCAAACAAGGAACCTTCAGCAATCGACAACACGGAAACGTCGAAAGTACCACCGCCAAGGTCGAAAATGAGAATATTCTGAAGCGGAGAAAATTTTTGAAATTTTTTTCGAAAATTTTCCAGAAAATTCCCCACCTGATCCCCCCTCATTTTCTTATCCAATCCGTAAGCCAAAGCAGCCGCCGTCGGTTCATTTATAATTCGCAATACGTTGAGTCCGGCAATCTGACCAGCATCTTTAGTTGCTTGACGCTGTCCGTCGTTAAAATAAGCTGGAACAGTGACAACGGCATCTCGAACAGGATGGCCAAGATAAGCTTCGGCCGTTTGCTTCCTTTAAGAATGAGAGAAAAAATAAAGTTTAAAAAACACTAGTCAAGAATTGCACAAACTTAAGAGCTCTATTTTTGGCATGCGTCTCATAAACTTGTGTGTGTCTCTCAAAAATAGAGAGACAGATCCCTCGATAACCCTTTTAAGCTACCAAACTTTAAGTCCCCAACCCCATATATCTCTCAACCCCACAGACTTGCGCCTAAGAAAATTCCCAGTCTCTCTTAATCCCTCTCAACTAAATCCTCAAAAATCCTTCTGCGGTCTCTTAGTTTTTGTTAAACTTAAAAAAGTAAAGCTTACATTTTTGTAAGAACCATTGAAGAAATTTCTTCAGGAAGAAAGGTCTTCTTTTCTCCTTGGAATTCAACCTGAAAAATTATAAATTAAATTGTTTTATAAAAAATCTCTCTCTCACTTCAATAGTTGGACGCCCAGTTTTATTGAGCAATTTAAACGGCCAGTGTAACATGTCCTTTTGAACTGTCGGATCATCCCATTTACGGCCTATTAAACGTTTAGCATCGAAAATGGTGTTTTGAGGATTTCGAGCTGAAAAACAGAGGAAGATTATTTTGAAAAGTGATCTTTCCAAAATTAAATTCTAGAGCCATTCAAAGCCTTTAAGGTCTTAAAAGATCCAAGGCCCAAGTCTCTAAGGTCTCTCTAACCCCCTCACTTAGGTCCTAGGTCTCAAGAATTTTTTGGGGGGTTTTTCGGTCTTGCCCTCGAACTGAGGTATTGGTCTTGGAAGATCTCGTGGCTTGAACAGCTCTAATAAATTCAGTCCAAGGCGCCCAAGACCTCCAAGAGCTGTCTAAAGTCTTAAGATTTTTTGGGGGTTTCGGTCTTGGACTTAGAGTGGATTCTTGGCCTTGGAAAATTTCCTGGCTTGAACAGCTCTATTAAATATTCAAACTACCCACCCATCTGATCCTTTGCAGGATCCCCAATCAAACGTTCAGTGTCAGTAAACGCAACAACCGATGGAGTTGTCTTGTTGCCCTGGTCATTAGCGATAATCTCCACCTTTAATTAATGAATTATTAAAATAACAAGCAAAATGGCATGCCTTTCCGTGTTGATAAACACCAACACAACTGTAAGTTGTGCCTAAATCAATCCCTATAGCTTTGCAGGAAGCCATAATAAAATAATTTTTGGGGTGTTTTGTGAATAGAGAGAAAAAAAGATTTTTTTAAAAGTATAGCTGAAAATTAGGTGAATTTTTTTGATAAAATTAAACGAGAAAAAAATTATTGAAAAATTATAGAAAAAAAAAATAAAAAATAAAAATATATTTAAATAAGCACAAAGTATACAAATAAAAATAATCTCTCACTCACTCAGTTGTTTGTTTGTTAGTTTACTGACAGCCTCCCTCTCTCCCTTTGCTTATATTCACTTTGTTTCTTTTTCTAGAACTTTCCGGAACCTTCCGGAAACTTCTAGAAAATTTCTTTAGTTTCTCTCTATTTTTAAACAGTTGAAAAAAATAAAAAGATAAGAGAACAGCTGAAAAAAGGCGAGAGAATATTTGAGAATTTTCGAGAATAATTTTGAAAAAAAAGAAAATAACAACAAAAATATTAGAAGAGTCATGGGGGTTACTATTTATGACTTTTTTTAAATTTAAACTAAAAATTTGTAAGAAATAATAATTTTTATTAGTAAAAATAAATAGTAAAAAAAGTTTAAAAGGGTATAAAAAATTATATTTAAAGGGTAAAAAAAAGTTTGACCATTTTGAGCCCCTGTAACCTTAATTTTTGATTATTTGAATCTCTATAACTCAGCTTAAAGTTCTATGGGCTTATTCTGGTTTATAGGCAAATTTTGATTTTGTTCGGCTCAGCTCGACGAGCTTTTTAGATCTATCGGCTTACTGACCATTTTGTACATCTTTAACAAAAAATGGACGTTGATTACAGATAGACTTTACTGTCTTTTAATCTTAATAACTTTTGATTAAACAAAGCTAAAAATATAAATTTTATGTCAAAAAATAGAGAAAACTCCGCTTTATGAAATTTCAAAAAATTTAATTTTTAAATTAAAAACTCAAGAAGTTGTGAATTTTTTAGTAAATCGGAAATGTTTAAATAAAGTAAAAATGCTGGAAAATTCTTTTTTTTTAAATAAAAGGTTGGTAGTGTTAATGTGTGCGCACAACGAAAATAACTTTTTATGATTCACAGCCAAAATTAAAAATAGTTGGAGTGAAGGACGAAAAAATTTAAACAAAAAATAATTTAAAATTTTTATTTAATAAATTGATTTTCAGAATTTTGTAAATAAAAAAATATTTTTTTGTTTACGTTAATTTTTGATGTTTTTTTATACTTTAGCTGAACAAAAATTTTTCTGTTTGAAATAACGTGAAGATAAAAGCAAATAAAAATAAAAACAATATAGGTACTTTGGAGGGGAATTTAAAATGAGCTTAATATTTGACTTTATTGCCAGATAGATCTTTTATGGCAACTGGAAGATCAGCAAGCCACAAAACAAAATAAAAACATTTCAGCATTTTTATTACTTTATTAGTTATTCAATCTCTTATAAAATTCTCATGTTCATGCTATGAAAATTATTGGATAGCAGATGGAATAGACCTATCATAGAATGCGCAGGCTGAGACAAAGTTCAACAAGATGATTTCAACCAAATGTACCTTATTGTGAAATATCCTTGGGGCTCCTAAATGGAATTATCACCTGGACCCCCTTCCAGTAGCCAACCAAATTTAAAAATTGCATTTACTAAAGGGGTCCTTTAATTCTAACAACAGTTGTCGGATCCAGATATCCTGATCCGAAAAAAACCGAATGTCCGAAGATCCGGATATCCAAAGATTTCCCAGGATCCGGCAACCTTAATTCTAACTGTATTGTTAAAATTTTAAAAAATTATTATTTTTATAATTTTTCAATATTTTGCACTTTTCTTAAAAGGTATTTTATTATTCTCGATTATATCGGTCATTTTATTTGGCCGTTTAAAACAAACATAAAAATATATAACATTTCAATATTAACATATATTTCCTCCCGTTAATAGTCACCAAAAACGTTTTTATGTTGGCGTCCTTCCAGTCGTTGATGGTGGTCACCTTTTCATTATCGGCTGGTTTAAACGTTTTGTCCTATAAAAAAAATTTTTTTTCTCGTTTACCACCCTATACAATAATATAAATTTTTATTTCTTTAAATGATAGTATGTACAAAATGTCCATTGACTGATATGTCCATCAGTTTTAATAACGTACACTTTTCTTCTTCAAGTCTTCCTGTTCCTGTTCTTCTTCTCCTAGTTCTTCAGTTACTTTATCCTCCTTTCTAACTTCACTTATTCATCACATTTTTCGTTTAATCCTCTTCATGATCCGCTTCATCGTTTATTACCCCTTCTATCATTTTCTTCTTTCCCTCTACCCTTCTCATCTTCCATCCTTCCACCTCCACAAATTACTTAATACCTTCCTCACTGATCTTCCTCAATCCTACCATTTTCTCATCTATACCTTCCAAACTCTTCTTCCGTTCTTAAATTCTTTTATCCTTCCCTTCCTTCTATTCACCACTCTCCAATTCCTTTACTTTAAATATACGGCTGGCAGCTATGGCAATAGTTTTTATATAACGGACATAGTAACAACTGGGTGGCAGTGAGTGGACATTGGTCACACGCTTCCGTCCACCCTCTCATTTCTCCAATATTTTTTCGAAAACTTGCACTTTTCTTTTGCACTTTAATCGTCCTTTTTATAGTTGCGGCTGGCACGAACTGACGCCGACCGTTGGTATTTTTGAGTTTGTGCCAAATCCAACAAAAACGTTTGGACATGTAATTCTTTGAAAAAGAATGCAAAAAAGAAAGAAAATAAGAGAACTCACAGAAATTGAGGAAATAAAGCAAAAAGAATTGAAAAAAGGAGCAAAAAGTCCAAAAAGTTGGGGGACATAGCAAGAGTACACTCCAGTCTTTAATTTATATCTTTGGAATGGGTGGACCAATTTGAATGATTTTTATGTTTTTTGATAGGGAATTAAATGGACTATAAAATTGGAGAAAATCAAAATTTTAGGTTAAGAAATAAAAAAGTTATGGTCAAAAAACCCTAAAAAATGCCTGAAAATGTCAATTAAATGACTATTTTTTTCTTCGGCCAACTGTAAAATTCCAAGTTAACTTTCATTTTATAGAAAATTTAATTCTCTATCCAATGATACCAAAATCTCCTCAATCGGTTTATTCAATCACAAGTTAGAGGTTATTTACTCAACCGTCCTCCTTTCTCAAACTTTCAACGTCGGCCTTAGTGACAGCTGCCACTAGCCAATGTCCACGCTAAGAGAGTTTTTCTTTTAAAATAAAAAGGGAGTGGACAGTGGGAACTACTAAACTGATTTTCCGTCCGTCCGTGTGCCATTCGAGTTGGGCAATAATTTGTGGCTTTAAGAGAGGAGGAAAAAAATTTATTTTAAAAAAGCTTTCGCTTACTTGAGAATTTTATTTAAACTTTTTTAAACAGATAATTTAAAATTAAAAATATTTTTCTTCTAAAAGAGCTATATTTCATCTTTAATTTTACCTCTAAAAATATTTTTTCTAAAATTTATTTTAATTTTAAAGCCGTATTTCCACCCGACACAATCTATTCTAGGCAAGAGTATTATCATCCTTTGGCCATTCTGTGCATGGACATTGCCCAATCCATTTTTTAACATAGAGCTCTTCCTTACACATTTTATTTTTCTTTCATTTTTTAAAATTCTTTGCCCTGAGGCTGTTCTATTCAGACAGCTATTGAATGCCCTCTACTGGTAATTAAAATTTGCTTAGAATTTTTTGCTTCTTTGAGACAGACAAGATTACGTTCTGGAGCTTGCTCGGAAAAAAGCCTGGGACTACATGTATTTTTTTAGTTACGAGTCGTCTATCCGGAGCACCCCTATTCTAAAGCAAACGGAATACAAATACATAGCAAACGGAATACAAATACAATAATGCAGGCCAGAAAGGAATCAATTTCTTGGGAATTCATCTCTCCATGTTTTTTGTAGTTGCATTGAAGAAAAGAGTTGCACATTGATGCGACATGTTGGCAAGTTCGTGTGATGATAATCGAAGAGCGCTTGAGTTTGTAGAAGATTCTGTATTTGGCAATGACTTTGGTGAGGTGCTGTTGTCATTGCCTTTAGTTGGACAATTATTTGTTGTATGTCCGAATGTATGATGAGAAGAATACTTTCTATTTGTATGCCGCATTGGAGCTTTATCAGATAATTCTTGTATTTTTGTTTGTTTGATGATTGCTTTTGATGTAGAGTCTTTTTTGTTGTTGGAGCAGAAGCATTAGTTGAAAGAGATGAGGGGAAATCCTGTGAGATAGTCCGAATGACCTGAAATTGCTTGATCTGGTTTCTTTTTCTCGTTTTAACAGGAAATCTTTCCTCCTTTTTACTATTCATAATTGTCTCTCCTCGAAAACTTGGACAATCTATCTCATTTTCTCTAATTTCTTTCATCTGTACTTTATTCTTTTCAGGCATAGCCACACAGGCTTCTATCATTATATTAACATAATTATAGTTAATTAAATTTCTCTCAGTTTCTAATCTTTCTACACATGAAGAATGTGTACCTCCCGCCAACAGTGTAATTATAAGTGCTGACGCGGCGAGTTTGTATCCGCTAAAGAATGGATTATATTTTAAAAATAGCTTTAGAGCAATAATTATCAGCACAAATGATAAAATAATCATAAATATCATTTGTATACTAATCAATTCAAAGAGTATGTTTTTCCAATCAAGAAATTGGAAACTTGCAAATGGATTTGTCAACCAATTATTTTCACTATTTTCTATGAATATTTTAGATGATCCTTCTTTTACTATTACTTTCGCCTTTTCTGGCAAAATGAATTCCAATTGTCCTTTTAATGTAAAATTTGTAATTCCTCCCGAGCAATAGACATTACAAATTTCATTTATCTCCGAATGATCAAACGAAAGTGCGATCTTTTGATCAATCCCTTTTTCATTACATTTCGCTGTGAAGATATTGCCTCCGGGGCATTTTATTTCAGCGTAAGCCGATCCATATTCGGTAGAACAATTAAATTTAAAAATAGCTCCCATGCAGCTATAGCAACCTTTTAAATATTCGGGTTCAATTTTACAGTACGTTATGTCTGTATTACTAGAAATTGACCAATCTTCAAATCTTATCATTAACATGATTGGTAAATAGTTAGATTCACTGATAATCATGTTTTCTTTTCTTCTTAATCTTATACGATTTATCTCCAATGGTAATGATTTGCGCGGATCTTTTATTAATTTTTCAATTATAAAGTCCGAACACGCGCATCGTATTTTCTCAATATCTTGTTCTAACCAGCATTCTTTACATGTATTAATTTCTAATTCACATTTTGAAAAATTTCCGGCATTTTCATAACATTCTAAATAAGAATTACTATTTTCTGAAATTGCAATTCCTCTTTCTCCAATAATAAATTCACTGTTTAAAACAGGTGCCATTGGAGGTGTAACATCCAATAAAGTAAATTTTATATCTTTCCATTTAAATGTCATTCCTGGATTAAGAGTAAATCTCTTTTTTGTCATACTTCCATTTATTACGAGTCCTATGTCTACTTCAATACTATAATCCCATGTAGGACAGGACACAAGTTTGAAAATTTCATCTGACTTTGGGATGGCATACACTCTATAAAAATAGCAGTCTGCTCCAGGCAGCGAACAGCCATATCCCCAAAGTGATTTTCCTTCAATACAAAATGAATTACCAGGATAATCATTCCATTCTGATAATTCTTCAACATAATCTTTTGTTCTGATGTGATTACATCTTCCAGCCCTACACGTTCCTGCAGCTGGGCATCTTTTAATTGACTGAACTTTAACTTCATAAGATCTCAAATATTTAAGTATTTTCTGATTGCATTGGATTTGCAATCCATGCATTGACAATTCTAACTCTCCCATTATTATTCCTTTATTATTTTTTAACGAGAGCGAATTTATTTGCTCATTTGGCAAGAGAGTCACAGTATTCACGGCATTCATTTTACAAGTAGAAATGCCTCCTTTTCTTTGACAATCTTCAGATTTAGCTTGTATAACTACAACTTCAACTTCTCCATTAATTAATTCCAAAAAGATAGAAAATATAGCTAATAATGCCATAAAACTTAATTTATTCAATCTTCTGTTTCTCTTTGTCATTTTATTGTTTTTGGTTTTATTTCTATTATTCAATAATAATTTTTCAGTTATATCTTTTTGTCTATTTTTCTTCTGCGCAAAAAATACTTCCATCGGCATTTTAACAATATTCCAAATTATTTTTAATAATTTTCCGAAAATCAATAAGAGTTTACAGGCAAATAGTGCTATTGATAGAATAATAGTCAGAATAAATCCTGCTATAATCCCTATCAATAATAAACTTTCTATTGATTCGCACTGAGGATTAACTATTCTTTCACGTAAGCCTGATATTCTAATGCATGGATCAACAGCTGGACATGAGATCCAGTCTCTGTACATGTATCTTTTGCCCCAATAAGTGGCTCGGCATTTATAATCCAATGCTGTTTTATCTTTTGGAATTCTAAATGCTAATCTTGACAAGCCATTTATCTCTAATAAGCAGCTTCCAGCGCAACATAATTCAATTTTATTTATATAATCAACTGCGTTAGCTTCAACGCCAAAGGTTCTACACTTCATAAAACAACCTTTACAATTTATATATCTTGGTGGTTGAGCAAATGCAAATGCAATTAAATATATTAATTGCATAAATTGTAGGCACAAAGCCGCTTTCGATCTTGTAACCATCGGATGAGTATTTTTATTTTTAATCTCTACTTTTTTAGTTTCTCTTTTACTCAAGTCCAATATATCTTCTTGTTCATTCTCATTATTTAAATTTTCTTCAACTATATTCTCATCTTCAATTTCTAGAGGAGAAATTTTATTAATAGGACGTATGAAAGTTTTATCTCCTATTTTAATCTTTGCGCTTCTGGCTGGATTGCCATCCAATTCCACTATTTTTCCCAATGGCCATACATTACGAGGTTGTCCTTCTTGATGGACAATAACCACTTCGCCAATTCTTGGGTTTCTTTTTAAATCATTCCTTTGATTATGATGTGTCCACTTTGCTTTATCTCTTAACATTATGAGATAATCACGCTTCCAGACATCCCAAAACTTTTGAAGCGTTTTCAAAGTGGCTATCCATCTTTCTTGGACTTGTTCAGCCGTGCTCATTTTTCCTATTCGAAAATTATCGTCTTCAATTTCTGGAAATTTTTGAATAATTTCCACACTTGGTATTATAAAATCTATTGGCCTTAAACATGATGGCCCGTCTTTTTCTACCGATATGTAAGAAATAGGTCTACAATTTATAGACATTTCTACCTCCTTTATAAATGTTCTTAACTCTTCTATATTTAATATTCGACTTCCCAAAGATCTTTTAAATGAATCTTTAACTAATTTTACTAAACGCTCATAAACGCCACCCTGCCATGGAGACAGAGCAGGTATGAACTTCCATTCAATCTCTTTTTCTAATAAAAAATTACTAAATATCTTTTCTTCATTATTAGCCTTTTCTTTCTTCCATTTACCTTCAATATTGGCATTTATTACTTTTGCAACGGTTATAAACTGATTGCCATTATCCGATATTATCTTTACTGGTGGGCCTTTTTGCGCTACAAATCTTCTTAAAATATCTAAGAATGAAAGCGCAGTTAGGTCAGTAATTAATTCTAAATGGATTCCTCTTGTAGATAAACATGTAAAGAGCGCAATCCAAAATTTAACTTTTTCTCCTTCTATCTTGCACATAGAAGGGCCGAGATAATCCACTCCAACAAATTCAAATGGACGTGATTGTCTTACTCTTTCTTTAGGCAA